CTCTCTACGTCACGGGCGCCATCGCGCTCTACTTCTGTCCGCCAAGAGTGGCGCCATGAACGACTCCGTGTCGAGGCATTCATCACCCCGGAGGACACCCCCACGGTGACAACAACTGCGTCGGTGTCAAGGATGCGAGAAACCTCAATAATTGGATCGCTGCCCGCGCAATGGTGTGCCTCTTGCAGCTATCGCAACGACGCCGCTTGAGGGATGCGCCTGCGCTACTTCACCATCGCCGATTGTTTGTTCGTGGTCGACGTGGTAATGTCGTGCGGCGTGCTGGAATGGCCTTGGTCTCGAGGACGACACGAATGAGCATTCGTGTAGTCCATAGATCGCGCAGTTGATGTATCACCGCTTCGAATCCCCGGTTGCAAACGTACCCCACAGTCGTAGCTGTTCAAGCTCATCCACCGCGATCCACGCGGTCGATGGAACTCATGACCTGGATTGTAGTACTTGAGGCCGGCGCGGTAAGTTCCAGAATGAGTTGCGTGTTATTAAGTTAGCTACCTTTGAGATTCGATATACAATTGCCACTGGGAACCTTACATGGATCATCGGCAAACTCTGTCGGATCCGTCCCTCTAGGAAGGCTGCTGCCAAATGTCGCGACGTGGCCTTCCGTCAATAGCATCGTATGGGGGTTGAAAGCTGCGGCCTTGGTCGTGTGGTAAGGTGTCGTCCTCTTGGGTGTGCAAGCGCGGCGGCACCTCGGCAACTCGCCTTCAAGAGGAGCAAGCTCCGTTGTGCGACGCACTCACCTGCATGCCGTGCGTCTTGGCTACTGTACCCACTCTCATTAGCGCTTGGATACATCGGCCTCTCCTGTCCATCCATCGATTCGCTGATGCACGCAGTTGGTCTCTCTCTGGCACGTAACATGCAGGCTTCACGATCGGGTTGTGCCAAGTGGACGAGCCCTCTCCCCACCACAACAATGTCAACCGCCGCCCTCTGTCTACATCCGTTCGTGTGCGCCATAACGCTGTGCTGCCAAGAATTCGAGCGCCAATCGCGTAGGTGAAGGGGCTCGTTGCTCTGGCCCCGTTCTCGCCGGTCGTGCATGCACTCGATGGAGGACATCCGCCACCATGATGCAACCTGACTTGATCCGCCGGTCGCGGTGTGTTGCAAAATGAATTGCCGAGTTGGAGTGCCAAATACAATCAAGGGACCAGTCGTCCCAACATCCATGATGACCAGTAGTGACATGCAAGCGCTTGCCCCATCAGGACCTCCAGGACGGCCCTCGGTGCGGGAAGGCTCGTGGCATGCAACTCCCTGGTAGAGACCACCGCCGCTGCCGGCATATCGTTCAGTTCAAGCAGGATGCGTATCAATCAAACGGGCGTTCTCAGCCATGACGGCACGCTCCACTGTTTGGATTGCGCTGGGTCGCTGACGTTTGGCTCGACATGTTACCCATCTCAAGAAGCAGGGACCGTGCTGGCCTTTTAGAGTGCAGTGCTTTGTCCGTGTGGGGATGTATATCTCCCCAAATGCAACGAATTTGCACTGGAGCATGAGAACTGCGACGTCGAGCATGTACCTCATGCCGTGCACTTGCTTTTCATTCGATGGGATTGTTCGCTATGTCCAGCTTCTTCACAGAGGCAACAACTAGTCGTTCCATCGATCCACATCCCGGAACGGACGTGACACGTCCCGGTCGTGGTAAAGCGTTGCGGAAGACAAATAGTCGCCAGTGAGCTGCCACACGTCGTTGGGGACTCCATGCAGCACTTCCTTCAAGTAGGCAGCCTTGGTTTTCTCCATGAGGTCCTTGGGCACGACTGTTGGAAAGAACGCGGGCTTTTCGGACAATTTGGCTGCAACCGCGGTCAATAGTTCCAGTTGATTCATGTCGTCGTCATGGCCCAAGGCGATTCCACAGAGGCCCATGCTGCTCTCAAAGAATTCGTGGTGCAGGTCTCTGTAGGTCGCATCTGCGCAAGAATGACGGGGCAAGTGCTTGTCCGTGGTGGGTGGCAACAAGCCGTCGTGAGGAGCGTATCGCTGCAGCATGGACTCATCTAGCCACGTGATCTTGGTCTCCGAATCGTCGTGCGTCATGCAGTGTGCGACTTCTTCCTTTTCACTCGATCGGTTGAACACGATGGCAAAGAACCCCGTGTTCGCATCCGCGTTGCCTTCGTTCATGATCATGTCGAAGTGAAAGAACTTGCCTGCCGCATCTTCCACGTCAAACTGAATGTACGTGAACACGTCCATGCCGTAGAGGAGGTCGGGATCGTCGTGACCGACCATGTCTCCCAGTCGAAGAATGCATCGCGTGACCTCGTCATCGTCCACATCAAACTTTCCATGCTGCGCACTTGCACGAAGACCCAACGGGGTCTCAGGATCGTCAACCAACATCCTCATCGCCTCGTCCTCTACCGAAAACTTCTTGCAACCCACGGGGATGACATGCCATCTCTCCGCCACTTGGCCCTTGTACCCTCCGATTGCTCGCGCGACCTCGTCGCGGAGAAGTGCCGAATCTTCGTACCACGCCGCCATCTTGTCGCCACAATTTTCCAGTCGGATAGTTCATTCCATTTTCCGGAAACACATTCTACCTAGACTCCGTTCCAGCATCTTGGCACCCTCGAGCGCTTCAGGACTGCTAGGAGCCTGCTTAATGCACACGCGAGAGTCCGTGGTAGGGGGTTCGGCTGCCAACTGGCACAGCGCACGCTATCATGGCAAGGCCCATGACAGTGCAGCCGGTTTGCATGTTGTGATTCCTGCCCTCTCGGTCTAAGCGGCTGGTTCTCGACTCAACGAACGGAACTCGACATGCGCACATGCATCTCCCCGTAGTTGCAAGCGAAGCCTAGCGTCGTGTGGGATGCAGCCACGACCAAGAAACGCGGTTGGCCGACGGAGGAGACCGCGGCTTCCAAGCGATCGATCGGTCCATGCTTTCGTACACTTCGACATCATGCCGAAACTCACCACTTTAGCCGTGGGGTGTTTCCGAATTGCGTCGATCGCAGCATTGTCGTGTTCGCCGCGTCGCGGTGGCAACGCGCGCTCTCCCACGTATGATTAGTGCATATAGTTCCATGGCCACGGTCCCGTCACGCTTGTTTACAGGAATGAGTTCTCGTCCGCACCTGGGTACACCTTGTCACCGCTCCGTGTCTAGACCATGCAAACGATCCATCTCGTGCCCAATGCCGTTTGTGCTCCATCGGTCGCGGTGTGTGGACGCAGCCAGATGTCCGCGCCACTCGAGATGGCATTCCTTCCAAGCGTCGGCATCTGCTTCTCGCGTTCTCCATCGCCCAAGTTTTTTTTTCTTTTCATGTCATCCTCTTGAAGTTCAAAATATCCACCAATCACATCCTCGGATATAGGACTGAATCGCCAACATGCGCCAATCAGATCGCTCGATTTGTCGAAACGCAGGCCGGTCGGTTGGGTGCAGCATGCATTCATTCGTCGTTTGGAGCACCGTCGCCGCCGCCGCCAGTTCCTCCTTCTTCATTCCACAACTTGCCACGATAATGCAACAACAGCCCATCACGCTCGATAACATCCCGCCCGTCCCGTCGACCATTGCACACACGCGCGGTACGGGCGACTCAACTCCCGAGCACGCGCACCCGATGTCGTCGCCTCGTGTGATGTCGCCACATAACCCACTCGTCAAGTCGTCCACGATGCCTGTCGTTCAAGCCCGCGACGACGTCGATATCATTGCTGACTACCTCAAGGAACACACGACGATTCGACCGACGATCCTTGTCGTGTGTGGATCTGGCCTTGGTGGTTTGTCCAAGTGCTTGACCAACACGCAAACCATCCACTACAACGATATCCCGCGCTTTCCAAAGTCCACCGTTGCGGGACACGCTGGAGAATTGGTGTTTGGTTACATTGATGATCTCCAAGTCGTGTGCATGCGAGGACGCTTCCACACGTACGAAGGCCATGATGTGCGACAAACGACATTGCCGATTCGCGTGATGTGCCTTCTCGGGGTAAAGTTCCTCGTCGTCACCAATGCGGCCGGCGGTCTTAACCCCGATTATAACGTCGGCGATCTCATGATCATGAGCGACCACTTGAATATGCCTGGTATGGCCGGCAAGCACCCGTTGGTCGGGCCCAACGACGACCGGTTTGGCGAACGCTTCACCCCCTTGTCGGATTGCTACGACATCAAGCTGCAAAACTTGGCATGGCGCATTGCCAAGCAACACGGGATCTCGCAAAAGGTACGCCGCAACGGTGTGTACTGCTTTGTGAGTGGCCCAACCTACGAAACCCCCACGGAATCAAAACTGCTTCGACTTGTCGGTGGCGACTCGGTCGGGATGAGTACTGTGCCTGAAGTGGTTGTCGCACGGCACTGCGGCATGCACATTCTTGGTCTGAGCTTGATCACGAACAAAGTGGTCATGCCTGGACAACAACGCACGGCGATCCCGGCGTCCCACCAGGAAGTGCTGGATGCAGTCGTCGCCACCCAAGCCGTCATCGAGCATTACGTTCGCGACCTCATTGTAGCTATCGGCAAGGACTACGACGACACCACTCTCCTCTTTGACGAAGATTGCTAGACTACTCATACCGATATCTATTTCCGTAACATTTGGAACAGTGTACCCCACTGGACAAGCCATGTCCTCGCCAACTTGTCCATTGGGGATTCATCTCCCTCACGGGGCACGTTGGGGAGAGCACTTTGCATATGTGCATGCCATTGCATGACGCAGGTCGACCCATGCCTTGAAGCATCGCTCGGCGCGGCATGCCATCCACGACGGATTCACCGATGTCAATGTCAAGTATATCCAAGAAGGAAAGCGCTTCAAGTTAGGCGTGGGTACAACGCAAGCGACGGGCTCAGCGAAGCAACCCGCTCGCCTTGAGCTGCCTGGTGAGGATCGCCGCCGTGTCGGGCGACGCTTCGACCAGGGGGAGTCGACAAGCTGCAGAGCAATACCCAAGCAACTCGAGTGCTTTTTTCACCCCTTGTGGGTTCACTTCGTTGTCGAAAATCGCATTGCACAACGGAACCTACCACGAATGCATGAGAGGAACACAAGGAGGAATTTTCAATAGTCTTTCGACCCACACAACCGTACAGATTCAAAATGGGCTGCGCGGGCAGCGGCATAATCGCCACGGCGCATGGCATCGGTGATAGCAAGCACTTTCTCTGGCGCTGGACATGGCACCGAGTTAGTCGACGACGCATTGTAGGAGATCGCATACCAATGTTGGAGAGAACACTCGTGACCCCCACACCGCCGATGGCCATGATGGGAAGCGTCAACACATCGTCCCCCGCGAAAATAGCGAGATCTGTTCGAGCCGCCACGTTGGAGGCTTGAGCGAGAGACGCCGTCGCCTCTTTCCATCCGAAAACGTGCGGCAGTTTTGCCAACGCAACCACGGTTTCCATCGTCATGGTGGCCCCCGAACGCGCTGAGTTGCAGTAAAGAATCACTGGAAGGCCCACGTCTTGCACCGCTTTGAAATGTTCGTACATTCCGCGTTGTGAAGGCTTGTTGTAGTACGGAGCTGCCACCAAGCATGCTGTTGCGCCCGCATCTTTGGCCGCCTGGGTGAGTCGAATGGCTTCCTCCGTGCTGTTCGACCCCGTGCCAGCGATCACAGGAACGCGACCGGCGGCGTACTCGATTACGGCAGCATTGACCTTGTCGTGCTCGTCGTGGGTGACCGTACAGAATTCACCTGTCGATCCCATCGAAAGCAAACCATTGATGCCCCGAGCGATTTGATCGTCCACGATACGGCGAAGGGATGGGAAGTCTATGGCCTTTGTTTGGCTCACGAACGGCGTGACAAGGGCGGTGAAGGTGCCTTCGAGTCGCAGCGCCTTCGTCGATGTCATTGTCAAAAAGATTCGGCTTGGCACCAACAACAATAGCTCTGAGACATGAATACATAAAATATTAAAGGTTTCGAATAGTCGAGGATTTGTATACTACAGCTGGGACAAATATTTCCGCATCTTCACTAGCTCGAGTAGACCTCCAATCGACACTTCATTGCCAACATGTACAGTGCTCCCTGAAGGTTTGCTCCCTACTCAAAATCAAATATTTGTGTAAAATGATTGATATAAAGTTTGTGGGGCTTGTTTGAAATTCAGCGATGGCTCAAGTGATAACTGTCAAAATCAATTATCGTGTTTCCTTTGTTCTTTTGTTTTCCTTTTACAATTTGTTTTTTGGTGAGGGAGCAAACGTTGAGGGAGGAGCTCTGTACTACGTGTAATCAAGGCAAAT